ACGACCTAGGCAATCGGGCAGCCGGCGGTTTGCCGCGTGAGGACTTTATGAAATGCCACTACTGGATCAAGGTACGTGACGGCAAGCAAATAATTAAAGTGAACAGACTCGAAGGTTGCATCTCAAGGCCCCATTCGGTAAAACGGTGCAAGTGAAATTCGTAAACTTCACTGATGGAATTGCCGTCGATGGATGCACGTATGCTGGAGTTGAAATCAAAACACATGAAGACCAACGTCGCACGGGTTACAGGTATGAAGTTACGCCCATATAAGGGTATAAAGCTTCTGTAAGTATAATCATAGGCAAGAATACTATTTAGATTCTGCTCAAAAGACGACGCAAACACCATACTCAATTCGACCTTGAGCACTGTTCCTATAATAACCTACAACCGAATCTACGCCACTGTCACGAAGTTGGAGTACCGCGCAGTTTAGAGGAGTTCCTCAGTGTTCAGAAAACGTGGTTTCCTCGAAATAAACTGTTCAGCCTTGATCGCCTTTCCTAACACCAAGTAATTATTCCACTGAAGCTCCTTCTCAGTGAGCTTTTTCCTCAGTGAGCTTGAGGGATTTTTTAAAGACTGTCGATCCTTAACCCTAGTAAGGTACCTGAAGTCAAGGGCAAAGAAAGAAAGTGATCAATCCCCTCCCCTCTGTAAGATATGCAGAACATTTGATTTACACTCGAAACAGTGGGAGTATTTGGGTTTTGATTGTCCTGTACAAAAACTTCTAGTGTTAGGATACTACACTCTACACTACGATGTATTGGATATTTATGCGGCAGATCGTCAGCAAATAGCTTTAGTGGAAGGAAACGACCATGGTGGAGCTTTTGAGACCCAGTACAGGAAGATCTTTTCATTTGAGAATCAGAGGGGCAGCAGTTTATTTGCTATGACAAGGAGACCATTGTAATCATGTCTTTGTCCTAGGCAGGATGACCGTTGCCTCAATTTCGCGGCAGCGCTGCAAGTGGGTCTGATCCACACCCATATTTTCTACATCGATACCAAGTGCAGTTGTGTCTGGAACAAAGCACATCATGAATATGAGTCCACATCAGAAATTGTAAACGTGCTGGGGCGCAGCTGTATTCTGTTGAGTGGGTTTTTTTCTTTGAAGACTTTCCCATTGGGGGGCTGTGTATATACTTTGATTGTAGATGGTGGGAATCACATGGAGAAAAAGAAAAACTGAGGGGCTCGAGAAGAGAGGGGTGCTGAAAGAAACTGTTTCTGATGAGCGGGAAGAATGCGCGGAAAGAGGAGGCTAGGTATCAATCCGTCGTTTTGGGGACAATACGTGGAAGAGAATGCACAGTGCTGTATCCTGTCATTTTTCAAAGCTAATTCCTTAAAGCATAGGTCGGTACCTATTATACATTTAACTTCTCGCGCTTCTCCCAAAACGCCGATTCTCTCGATTCGCAAAGTATGAACACACGCTGACGGTCATTGTTCTGGATAACTAGGGTATTCGTATGTGCACAAACTTTCTACCTCTGAGACGGCGTAGGTGTAGCATCTGAACATGGCACAGGATGGGTTACTACTGCGATACTTCGATTTCGAATATGTTCTCAAAATATCCATTCAAGTGCACGTCAAGACTCGCAGGGTGCAGTTTTCTAAGGGCCATGGCCGCGCCCAGCGCGAGCCCACAGTGATTCTTGAGAACGTCGCCAATGTAGAAGAGCTGCACCGACAGAAAACGTGAAATCCGGACCAAGGCTGCCTCGCACGCCGAAACCTAAGTGCAACCGAAGATCCTGGGCGGACGTCGCTCGCGGGCATGACACCTCGGGATCATCGTCGGGACCAGAGCCAATGAGCAGCCCGAGCTCTCCCGTGTGTCATTGACGCTTTCATCAGAACCATTAGCGGAACTCTTCCCGCTCGATTCACAAGGGAATGGTTTGAACTTCCCATGGAACTTTGAATGGAGACCTAGGTACATCGATAGAGCCTCGAATGCTGATTACGAATATGCAGATTAAAAGTGCTACGGGGACCTCCCAGACGAGATCTGGGTGGTCAAAGTTTGCGAAAACTCGGTTTTGGCTCGTAAGCGCTGCTGATCGATAGTTGGGCAGTGCCACCGTGGCCTAGTGGTAACGGTCTCGCTCGAATGCCAAGTGTTAGTGGGTTTATTAGGTTGTCCGGAAAGTTCTCAGCGTTTTGTGCACCTATTTTTTGTACATTCACTGCTGATTAAAAACTCATTCTGCCTTGCTTCTCAGTAGCACATCCTGTAGAGAATTTCTTGCGCTATCTGATGGTATAATTGCCGTTTCACC